TTCATCTGACTCTATTAAGGATCAGAGTCTTTGGTAGTTGTGCTGGGAAGAAGGATTCCCAGATACATCCTTAAAATGAATTCTTCCTACAGAGGAATCTTTGTAAAAAGGCATGGCCTTACTTCCAGCTGGCAATGTCATAACCCCAGTAAGATAAAAGCCTTAGAAGACCTTCTGCAAAACATCAAATCAAGATTTCTTTCACCTGTACTAAATCCTCTCTCCCATATAATAGTTAAAATCATTCAAAATAACATAAACTACAAAAAGTTGCCCTTGCAGACAGATGCTCCACATTATGGCATAAGGTTTAGAGCAGTGACTTACTGTTGGCCGAAGTGCTGCACGCTTACTCTCACACCCTTGCAGAAGTTAATTGAAATTATGAGCACCTGAAATTCGAGAACATCAGGACCATCCATATGCAACCATCCATATGTTTGTCCAGCTCGAGCAGGTGCTTGCCTCACTTGCAGGCTAAGTGCATGTGCTCTCAGATCATGAGCTACACGGCCACAAGGTGTCCAAAGTGCAGGCGGAGGAAGCATTTGTCCCTGCTCTGCATCCCAGATTTCCTGCCCTGTGTGCATTGTCCTGGGCAGGTGTTGTAGATGGGGAAGGCAAAGTGGCCACTAAGAACAGGCCTAGCCTCTTAGTCTGAAAATTATGCATGTTACCCATGACCAACACCATCCTAGCATCACAGCAAGGCTGACCAGGAAGCAACCAGGGACCACCAAAGCCTGCTCCGTGACTTGCAGTGCAAGCAAGCCCACCATGACTGTCTTCAGCTGGTGTCTGTCTACACAGCTCTTGGCAGCTGACAGGGATTTTGTGGTTCTGGCTGCAGGGCAGAGCTTGTTCCAGGGCTCAGCTGCCCTTGCAGTGAGAAAGTTTTCCTAATGCAAACTTCCCTTGCTACAAACCAAGATCATTACACTTCATTTTACCCTTATATAGCACACAACGATAACTAATAGTTGTCCTCTTTATCATTATTTTTTATGTGATTGAAAACTTTGACTTTCAACCAGACCAGGATTTCTAAACCTTTTGTTTCTATGCCTTTCCTTCTTTTCTTCAATGTGTTCCTGTCTCCTATAGGAGTGAGGTGCCCAGACCAGCGCTGTAGTCCTCTGGAGGCTTTGACATTCTCAGCTAAGCACAGTAATTATTTCTGCCTTACAACTGACATTCCCATTAGTGAGGCTGCAAGTGACATTTGCCCTTTCTTGCAACAGGATGAAGGTAATGAATCCCACTCTATTTGTGGTCCACTATATCCCTAGATTCTGCTTCTGCAGTATCGTCATCTTAGCTGCTACTTACCATCTGTATACATAAATCTGACTTTTTTTCTTCCTCAAATGTAATTTGCACCTGTCTTTTAACATATCCCATCTTATTGATTTCAGGCTATTCGTTCAATCTATCAAGAGTATTTGGAATTCTAATCCTAATTGAAATTATGTGGACTGTCACATAAACTCCTGGTCTACCTCCTTTTTAAAGGCAAATACCACGGCTGCCTTTTACTGATCCCCTAGGACTTCAAGCTTCCTCTAGGAGTTTTCAAAGAAACTTGTTAATGCTTTGGAGATTTCTTTTGGAGATTTTTTGGATGTCTTTGGAGATTGTTTTTCCTAGCTCCTATGCACTCAGAAGGAATTTCATCAGGTGAGCCCCACTTGAGTACATCTCACTTGCCTTAGGACCCTTTATTGTGTTTGTCTCTTGCTACCTTGTAGCGAATACTAATAGCACTACATATACTGACACAGTTTATCATTTTTAGAAAGACCAAAAGCAAAGAAAATAAGGAAGAGAAAGAAATATTTCTGCACTCTGCTCTCACGTCATTATTTTCTCATTCACTTTTCATATTAGAAGTCATACGTGCTTTCTTTCACCCCTCCCTTACAGCTTATCCCTGAACTCCCTCGTCACTTTGCACATCTTCTGCTCACAGTAGCTTACCGTATTCAGTGGTCTTGCTGGCTCACTCTTACACTGTGCAGTACCCTTTCAGGCTCATCCTTAGAAATATTTTTGTCTTTTCCTCTTCAAAATTCTTTTGGGCCACTGAAGAGTCACTCACATAGATATGTAGTCTCTTACTGCGTTTGCTCTTTTCTACACCAAAAGAAGATGGTGCTGTACTACAAACGCGATGTCTTCTGGAGGGTACCAAAGATCATCTGCTGATTCTTCCTCCTACAGAGTTTGTCCCACAGAAACTCACCTGTTGTTTCCCTGATTTTGTTTAGGTGAGTTTTTCTTTCATGTAGATGGTTATCTGCCTTTTGTCAGAAGAGGGATCAAGGTTGTTTCCCCAATTACTTTTGCCCTTCCACTTACAGACTGCTAGCTTGTTCCATCAGCCTGTATATGTATATTTAGGAGACTGCAGCACTACGAGATGCTCCTCAGTTTCTCATACACAACAATTCAGGCATAAAGCTTTCCAGACAGCTGTTTTGCAGCTCTGACCTACCTCCTCCCCACCATCACAAGCTTTTCCCACAGTCTCTTTGCTTGCACTGAACCCCTTCCCTCCTCCGCAGGGGTACACCACCACACGGGAGTGTTAAATGACTCATCAAAATTACAGCCCGATGTTGGCAATTCCTCCCCTCATGTATCTTCCATTACAGCTATAGAGGAGTGTTCTTGGAAAAGCATCTACGCAGCAATAGGGCTTTCCATTGCCTTCCAGCACCCTGCTGCGGTCTGGGTGACAGCAGTCTTCCCATTCTCATCTCTAGTAGACTGAAGGTCTTCCCTGAGTGCAGACTTCCTAAAATGAGTGCACACTACTGCACTGGCTCATTTAATTAAACTGGGACAACTCCAGTTCCTGCTGTGGGAGGATGAGGCTATTTACTGACTTACCAATAAAAATGCACAGTGGGCCAGGACTTGGAAGAGAAACAAAAGCACCAAACTGTTTTCTAGTGTCCACACCCTGCTGTGCTAGGAGTCAGCATAGTTGGGTATCATTTATAGGTGGTTCCTAGTATTGTTCACTCCCATCTCTGCTCTTGAGTCATTAAGATGCAACAATCTGGAGCGACTAACAGGGTGCTCTCCTGCAGGCAGCAGGGAGACTGAAAAGAGTGGATTAGGGGACCAGAGAGTCAAAGGAACATTTAGGCAAAGCCTTGACATGGTACAGGGTGCTGACAGTTTCACAGAGCTTTTATAGAGCTGTCTACAAGTCAACATCAATCCAGCTGTGGCAGTGTGGTAGATAGAGCCTGGCTTTCTAGCAAATTTCTGTTTCCTTTGTTTGTATTGCTGCTCTCTGTTCTCTTTATGCAATTTTTTTTTCCCCTCAGAACTTCAAAAGAGCAAAGTTCCTCTGCTTGTGAGGACTCCAAGATACTAAGCTCTTAGTGAATACTTGTACAGTAACAGCCGTCTATGCCTGCGAGCTCTGGTGCATTTGTAAACCCAGCACACATGTCACACTCTCACGCTCTAGGCACATCTCCTGTTAAGCAAAAGAACAACTTCTGCAGTCAAGGATTGGGCTGTACTACAGCTTTCAGTGCAGGTCACTGCTGGACACGAGCACGCAGCTGTACTCTCATTTGCTTTGGTCCAGACCAGATGCAAGTTTGAGTTTCTAGCAAATATTCTGCTGTCTTAGCAGCTATCACTACCAACATGCCCTCAGTATTTTGCCCTGCTTGGCCGTAGGGCGCTTTGCTACCTTTATCCCATGGGACTACTTGCCCCTATTTCATGTCATTTATGGACGCAAGCACCTGCACAGTTTTGCTTTAATTCGCAGCGAAGTTCACTGATAACAAAGGCTATTCACATCTTCTGCAAAGTTCCCCTTCACTCTCACGGCTTCCTGTTTTTATTTATGCTGAACTCACACACAGCCAAGCAGTCCATCCCAGGCGTGCCCTCATGTCACAGTCTCCTTGTACACAAGATCAGCAATCTAAGTTTGGTCTTGCAGTTAGATTAGCTTTCCTGGGGCATTCCAGCTGCTTCACAGTCTTTGGATTAATTGGTGGGAATCCAAAGAAATGCCTCATCTGAATAGCTATCCCAAACGGCAATTTTTATATATTAATTTATTTAGTATTTCCTTGACTGAGCATTTGTCACTTGTACTTGACAGGTGGCACGTATGTTGTTATGGAAGGTGAATTTGGGAGTTATTTACCTGTGTAATTAATTTGCTAGCTGGACACAATGCTTGGATGCTAAATTTCCTTAACATGTAAGTTGCAACCCAAAGTGTACCGATATAAAAATGGACTGGACTGAATCAGTACAACTCTTAAAAATAGTATAATTCTCCTTATACATCTATTACCTAAATTCTTAGTTTGTATGTAGACAGATTTTTGTACGTAAGCGGATTTCTCTCATCACTTATGCTCACAGGAAATGCATCTCACGTTACTCAATTACTCTAGACTTTCTTAAACATATAGACTAGGATCTGACATCTTTTTATTCACAAAAATAGTGTAAAATGACAAATATCCAGTATTTTAGTTCAGATTAAATTCCTATTACCCTGTATTCTGCTGCAGTACGCTTTTTTTACTTCAAAAGTGAATTCAAAGGTATTTTTAGTGGTATGCAAGGAAACAAGTAAAGCGTCAAGATTTTGTTCCATTCCTAAGCATCATTACAGTGTTACAGTGAGGCTGGCTAAATATTATTGGTTGCACTTTTCCCCAATATATTCATGTTATAATAATGCCAATAATGGTACGTACTAAAAAGCACTAGCACCGGATTTAACTATAAACTCCCTGAAGTACACAGCAATTTTGCCATTATCTTCAATGGAAAAAAAAAAGAATGGGCCCACTCTAGTTGTGCCTGTGTTGCTTTTCTAAGTGCTTGCACACTCCCTAGCAATTTTTACCCAAAGGTAGTACTACAAAAACAAGTGTCATTAGTTTTAACTGGGACCCAGAAAAGTCTGTACAATATCACCACTTTAATGCTGCCTAGAAAACACTTACCTCAGATAAATGACCATCTGCTCCAAATGAAATGTCTTCCATAACCTGTTAGAGATAAATTATTAAGTATATAGTAGATACTGTTTATATAGCATGTAAGATTTCAATGGAACTTACAAAAACCAAATAGCATATTAAAATGTTATAGAAGCTGAACAATTGCATCATTTTGCTTCAGACACATGAAATGTGTCAGTTGCTTTTATAATGGAGCAGTGGCAGCCACCCAATACTTCAAGCTAAATTTGAATACATTTTATTAAAGCCTGCCTTTGGCTTCCCAGTTAAAACCCACAAGGAATACTGCCCCTAAAACTGAAGGACTAACTACAGATTGAAACAAACTATCTTCTATCAAGCTCTTACAGATCTATAAACCATTTGAGAGTCTACAGAAATTTTTTTTGGCACAAACCCTGTGAGTGATTTTGGGCAGGAGAAACGAGAGATCCCGCTGATGGCATTGGTAACATGTGCTAACTATAGTCAGTTCCTCTTTCAAAACTTGCTTCATCTAAGTATCTAAGAAATTAGCCAGCATTTCATTGACTAAGGAGCAAAGAAATTTGATGTTAACATTATTGGAAAATCATTAATACTTATCACACGTTAGAGTATTGACAATCTTTAAATTGTTGCTTAAAACTGAGACAGGGATATTGCTTTGGTAGGGCAATACTTAGTATCACATGTATGTACATGCATATATAAAATAAAGTGCAAAATCATTACTCTGCCATAAGATCATTATTATTACTGGGTACTATTTTCAGTAATCTATCTGAAAAGAGATTAGATTTCTTTTACCTGTAATATTAATTTTCTGATTATATTTTTACTGCAAAATACACATAAGCCTTAAGCTTACTGAGATGCTATGATCTCTAGCTAAAGAGTTAGCATTTTACCAGCAGATACCACACAACAGTATCACACGCAGCTAATGGGCATCTTACTGCATCCCAACGCACGTGACCGTGCAACGATGATCTGACCATTGCGTACAAGCCAGCTGCCTGTTGCTACAAAAATCCCTTCCAGCTTGGATTAATGCAAAAAACACCCAACTGCTGACTTTCACTGATGCTTAATGCTGACATTTAAAATTAAGATTAAATCTAATGTTTCCACATTATTTTTGAAGCTCTACAAATACAACATTTAATTAAAACTCAAATGAACGCTCAATTTGGCTTTCTAAAGGCTTTGTCCTTTACACATTGCACATTTGCCTCCTGGACCACAGGCTATCTCTGCACAGTAATGAGTTACAGCCTGCTGACAGAGGCTTTCTTGGTGCTTGCTATCACTAAATTCTGAAAAATGTTGTGTCATATCCTGTGATGGCTTCTTTCTAATGACAGACACCACATTAAATATTAATTATTATTTTTTCATGATTGTCCACTTAGTATCACTTAGAACATTCAGTATTTTTAAAAAGTTGAAAATAATGAAGGCTTTGCAATTACAGAACATCTTCCCAATCCCAGGGTGCTCTACAAAAGACCCCAAAACATCTTCCCAGGTGGCAAAACTGAAGTATGCAGAGGTGAGGAAAAGACAGTAGCCCTTACTCTACCCCTGCTCACTGATTCTTTTATGATGAAAAGTGAGAAATGATCTACAAAAAATTCAGATGGGATAACTACCAAAAATGCTGACTTACAAAAGGTAACACACTACTGAATTTTGGGGTTTTTACCTTGTAACTTTAATCACCTCAATTTTCTTGAAATCTAGTAGGTGTTTCTTTCCTTCATTGTGATTAAGAGGGAGCACTGCACAGCATGCCAGATAGCAGAAGAAGAAAAAAGGATAGGTCAGGAACTCAAGCCTACAGGTGCACACATACTCATGTTCATCAAGATACGTGGTGTTAGGGAGGTCCCAGCACACGCACACATCTCTGTTTATTACTTATCATCGGTGTTGCTGGTGCTACAAAAAGGTTTTGCTTACGCATGCATTATCAACAAGCAAAAAATAAAGCAAGATTTCATAAGGAGTGGAACAAGCTGGTGTTAATGTCTGAAGAGAGAGGAAATGTTACTATATGTTTCAGAAATCCGTCAGATATCTATCTAACTAATCATCTAATAATGATCCTAGCGACTTCCACCTCACTCACACATCACCTCGGCAAAATAACTTGCGGTCAGTTTAGAAGTATGGAACATTTCTGGGATGAGAATTAGAACACAACTTTAATTCCCCAGAGACTTGGGACAAAATCAGAAGACAAACTGGAGCTGCACTGTTGGGGCACCTTAAATTCAGCAAGACAGCAACCAGCTGGAGAGCACATGCTTATATGAAAATTCAAGAATCTCAAATACCACAAGCTGATTTTGACATGACTGACACTAGTACTACTGTCTATAACTTTTGCTTCAGCATTTTTCTCAAATACCATAATCTAATGAGTTCTCTGTAATTGAGAGGAGTACATCTTAATTTATAAGTAACTCAGCGTGTTCCACAGGATGATCCTTGCTAGCCTCACTTTATTTAGTTTTGACAAAAAAATTAGTAATGATGTTTCACTAAGCTGAGCTGCCCAAGCATGTGATTGTCTTCACTGGTTAACAGTCAGTGTTACAAAGGAAACCTGATTTACCGGAATATTTTGGAATGCCGCAGACTACCACATAAACAAACTGGGGGGAAGGGGAGGGAGGAAATCTGTACTGTCTTAGAAAACACAGTTATGAAGACTATAAAGTAACTGTTAACAGTTAATAAACATGTGCTCACACATGACAGTAAAATATCTGAACTTTCAAAGAATTTATATCTCACATTTTATACTAGAACATGCCATATTTTAAGATCTAGTGAGGATATTTAATTAAAAATTAAAAACAGCCCCTCTGCAAAGCAGCATCTGAGGATCTAAGTGAAGGGATCTTTCCATTCGTCTATTTTGCTTTTCTTATTATTATGTTTCTTATTTGTTTCTTTGTTTTCTAATGAAACCAATACAGTAATATACAGTTCTATGCAAGAAAATTATATTTATAGTATACATCAACAAAACCAATATCCACTCCACAGAAACACTTAGGCAGATATGACATGATAAATAACTGGAGAGCTTCATTTATAGCATTTCACTGTAAAGTAAATCAATCACCTGGGAATGAAATATACCTTCCAAGGCACATATGCACATAGGCTATTATTACCGTTTGCTATACTGTTTTGAAGCAAGTAATTCAGTAACCTCTAAATAGAAAGAACGCTACTCTCATTGCGCGTCAGTGGCCAACAGCTTTCTCTAGAAACTCCTCAGTGGGGAACAGAGGTGACACAGTTGAAGAGAACAGTCATTCTAGAAACATGGCAACCACATCAAGCTGCCCCTCTTGCAGGGACACCACAGCCTAATATCAAACCAAGTTATTTGAACAAATACATGTTTTTCTACTGGGTATCCTCACTTGCTGATAAATGGCTACAAAAAGGTTCACTATTAACAGACAACAGTAAGTTTTTCCATGAAAGCCATATGAATGGCTAATTTTAGAGACTAAAAGCCACGCCACTTTTTTTTTTCCCCCCACAAACATTATGTTATTTTTAAAATACAAAAGTACAATACCATATAACAGAGCACTTTCTATAGAAGTGGTTTGTCTTTCAACTAAGTCCATTTACAAACCAAGACATATTCTCTCTTGCACTTCACCATGTTCAAAATTAGAAGTCAGCATGACTTGTAAATAATGTGTCAGGGGTTTTTTTTGTTTTGTTTTATATTCTGCCTTGTGATGAACTACTAGGAGGTGTTAGGGAACATTATGCTATAGCTTTTCTCTAAAAGTTTAGGTACTGCCTGTCACTTCTACCATGATCCTACCAGCTTTACACCTAAAGTGTACTTGTTTGGGCAAAACTTCTATACCCCACATCAAGTTAAAAATCCCAGCTTCTGAAAGTATAGAAGCAAGCAGACCAACGCTAATTCCAGAACCAGAACACAGTCTTTGGGGGTTTTTTTTACGGTTGCAATAGGTTGCAGTCATCACTGATGCATAACTTTGCCTCAGTGGTCAAAGCTGCAGGCACCACTGAAGCAGAGGAAGGCTAGTCGAGTAAGCTGTGATGAAACAGAGCTGTGTTGCTCAACTCCTAAAAGCTGGAAAACAAATGAATGGTCTTATATTAACAGACTACTGCTATTTTTTCTTTCCAGTTTGTCAGTCCTAGGAGCGCTGTGGGAATAGATGCAGGAATACCTCTACAGGTCCTTCACCGATGGGCGTTTTCACGTTTATATTTACACATCAGCTTCTGAATAGATTTTGCATGTTCTCAAAATGGAGTTTCTTCAGAGTACCAGGATAGGCCAGATCCCAGGCAAAAGGCATTTACACTACAAAGTTTAAGCACCTAGATGAAGAGCTGAAGTTAGGAGGATAGCCTCTCTACGTTCCCTCTATGGATGATAGAGACAAAGAGGAAATTATCAAAAAGCAGGTTTAAAAGGAGGAGCTTAATGGAAGCACTGCAAATATGCTTTCCTCTTCCTTTAAACTTATGGAGAACCTGTCCCTCTTGAGTCCTGCATCTCTCTCCAGAACCAGAAGTCACCTCACTTCAGCTGCCTAGACGTCATTCTCCGATAGCAATGCTGATTTCCAGGGAAACGATCTGGACTTGCCAGGGTGAAATAGGTGATCATCTACAGCACAAATCTCGAGTGCTACTGAAACAGTCACAAAACCCCAAACCCTCCAGAGCTTCTCAGCTGCCCTTTTGAAAGGGGAGCGCAGCTTTCCGTAATCAACACAACTCCTTGTACTCCTTCAGCGGACTCATCAGGAATGGGGCGGGGCAGAGGATCAAAGCCATAGCTGACCAATTCTAATAAAAATGCTGTCTATGCAGAATCAGTCCATAAACCATCTCCCCCAGGAAAAGGCTGCAAGTACTATTGAAGCCCAATTTAAAAACAGAATTTTAGTAATAAGAGGAGATTTTACAGTAAGGTAAGGGCCTGCTTTCCACTAAGTCTCAGCCAGTATAAATGCAAAAGTAGGCATCAACTTTCAATGTAACACACAGTTCAATGGCTCTTAACATCAGGTGCAATTAAGCACAGTTTTAATTTTTATCAACCAAATACCAAGGTAATAAAACTGACAACTCTTGTTGGAGGATCTTTTTGTCACAGTGATGCTGTTTACCTTGACAGTGCAGTTAAAAGATCATTAGGTAGCTGTACATTTTTCAAGCAAGGATGGCATTCCAGAGCAGAACATGAAAACTTAAAAGAAATTTGTCAAACCTGTTAAGTCTCATGATGTTCATCCTTCTTTTAGTATTTGTTGGATGCTGGAAGCTTACCAGCATCTCAACTAGGAAGCCTTTGGCCATTTCACTAGGGGAGGAAAACGTAATCTCTCCTCACTTCAGCTAACATAGACCCAGGCTAAGAAGTCAGCAGAACTAACTCAAAGTGAAACTCGTTAGTGAGATGAGGAACAGCTGATAACTTGTGTTAAATACTTAAGTTTTTCCTTTAAATCCTGATATACACTCTGTATTCATTGCCTGAATAAATTCCACATTTTAAAAAGACTGATGGTGAAAGGAGAAAGAGTTGAAGGCCTTCTGAGAAGCTAAAAAGCTATTTTATTCATGTCCCAGATTGGAGGCCAGATGTTAAGTTCATACTTAACCTGCCCTGCTGACCCATCACCCAGCTTCAACTCTTCCTCTCAAAAGGAAAAAACAGCAGTATTGCCTGAAATGCAGGTGTAGAAGAATATTTCAGATACCTCTTTTAGCTCGCTGTGTTTGGGGCAGGAAACAGTGCCCCACTCTGTGCCCTTTGGAAAGTGACCTTCTTTTCTTTTTTCAGAATCAGATGAGCCATCAGCAGTCATCTCCATCTCATCCATTTGGTTCTCCTCTTCCTCAAAAACACAGCAACTGGTTTCTTTCAGCTGAAACCCTCGGATCAACAGCTGACAGGCCTCCAAGTCAGCTTCCCACACTCTTTGGAGCAGCTGGCTCCCACAGCTGAAATAAAAGCCAAAAGAAAATAAAACTGCAGTTCAGGGAGAACAGTTGCTATTTCAAGTAACTTTTGGGGTAACTGCTTATTACTAGATAGGAAAATAAAAACAATGAAAAAACAACAGCAGCTCAAATACTTCCACCAAGAGAACACCAGCTATTTCAAACTGAAAAGCAGTAAAATTATGGCCCTCTTACAAAGCTGATGTTATAAAAAAAAAAAACACCTTTTGTGCTAAGATGTTGCTTCCAACCGTAAGACGTACACTGGCTGCATGTGACCTTCTCCTGATAGGACGCAAATCCAGGAGCCTTGCAATCACAATCGGAGCTTCCTCCATGCTATCGGATATACAAGCCTAAGAGCAGTCGTGGGCTTTTCCTGAATTTGATGTAGGAGATCATGTATGAGCAATCACACTATTCGCTGCATTAAATCAGCTCTAATTTTTGGAATATAGGTACACTAAATTTCTTGTTAGACTGAAATGTGCCTGCTTCAACTCTGGTGAATCAAATTAGATTAAACTGTAATACTCTTCCTTTCCTTCAGTCTTATACTTTTGAGTGTTGTCCTTATCTCTCCCTGATGTGCTTTGGGTTTTTTCTACTGTTATCCCAAAGAAAAAACAAAAGTATTAGGAAATTCAAACTACCAAACTTCTTCATACTTTTGATCCATTTATTATCTCTCAGATATCCATCCAGTAGATACCTTCACCTTAAGTAAATGGGAATTCTAGGCATAGATAGTTTTTCAGAACAAAACACTAAACACTAACATCACACTGCTCGTAAGAGATGTGGTCACATCACACATTGTCTCTAAGGAACCAGAAGATTAGGTTGCCTGCTAAAATATAACAGAAGTGCCGATTCCCGTAGCAATACACACTCCCAGACAGATTTGAATGCTAACATTTAATAACCACAATATTTTTTTCCACAGTTCTTTTCAAATCATTTGCTATATAATAGTAAGCAATTATAAGTGACTAAAAGAAGGAAAATAACTATTTGATTTTAACTTTTCCGACTAAATTAAATACCAGCTTATCTTTTATTCTAAATGAAGAATAAAGGAGCTGTGCTGCTCATAATGAATTCATTAATCTAACAAAGGTACGTTTTTAACTTTACAAACTCTACAAGATGCCAAGCTGTAAAATTCACCCAGCAATATTTTGAGACTGAGAGCAAAATCAAGCTCCAGTATTTGAGCTACTTGATCTGTGCTTAGAGTCAGTATCTATGTTTATTGAAGGCAGGATGCAGCATGAGGTCCACAAATTGGTCCCCCCAAGGAGTTCAAAGTACCATTAATTAGAAAAGGAAAAAAATCTTCACTGGATTACACTTCTGTGTTCCATCCAGGTAGCATTTCACTTACCAAGCCAGAAAAATAAAAGAAACCCCACTGTTTCTCCACTTGTCAGTCACATCATCACCCTTACACAGTCAAAACATTTCCCCGCAGACATACACAAGCCCATTTACTTGCTTTTTGCAAAAGTTTGTTTGCAGCTGCATATGGCTTATTATTAAAGGCTCAGAAAATACACTAGAGACCTAAATCATAATTTCCATAGCTTGTTTTGGCTACTCAATTTAATGAAGGGGTCTATTGACAAAACTAGGAGAGAGACAGATCGTATTCACAGTGGAGAAGATGAATATCATATATAAAAGTACGGCATAAAGGTGCCTGGTCCGCTGTTATTCGGCTATGACTCAGCTCATCGGTCGACATGCTTTTGATTGTGGCTAAGCTTTACACCCATTTTTGTAATCAGCAATTACCGAACATACTGCTAATAGACTGCTTTTATTTTAAGGACATCTTTTATCATTGTATCTGTAAAACTGATACATCTTGAACTAAGATACTAAGATGTTACGCTGAACTTTTCAACTGAAATCAGTGAACACACATATTAAAAAAAAGTCCAGGAGTCTTGGATATTCTGAACATACCTAAGCCCAAGGAGTCTGCATCTTTTAGTCTGTATTTTGAAATTCAGTGCTTAGAAGCATTTTTCAAACGTATTTTTTAATGAAAATTATTTGAAAGATGCAAATAGCTGACACAGAAACACATACCAAATAATTATTAAAAATTATGTTGTCCCCATGTGCAAAAATCTTTAGCTTTTACATCAGGTGTAAAATCAAGCTCAACTGAATTTCAGAGTTTGGTTTATTCATGTTCAATCCACACTAAAAGTGCATTTGCAGTCTCAACGAAGCCAAAAATATGTGAAAGCCTGTACTGAACACGGTGAGTTTTTTCAGGTACGCAGCTTTTCAAAACAATGGACCGAGATTGGATCAGATTCTATATTATTTGTATGCTTATAATATTTTATGATGTATCAACCTCTAGGTGTTATATCCCTGCCTGTATGTTACTATCAAAGTGGTGTACGTCCATGTTCAATGGAGGTGCCTGGAACAATTTGCTGGAATCCACAACAAATCACAATCCATCCATCCTTTATATAAACCCAGCAACAACACAACATACCCTTAATCACCTACGGACTGCGAACTTGGAAGTGTCAGAGTGCTCATGAGTCCAAAAAGCCAGGCTTTGTACAAACACCGAGCAGATTACAATGATTGCCCTTTTCTCAAAAAGACTTTTAGGTTTAAAACAAGCAACAAGAGCTAGGGTACAGGTGAGGATGAGCTGTGGACTGAACATGGCACATTAGTTACAGTACAACAGTTTAATTAGTTACATCAGTAACTAATCAGTCTAATCACTGTCAAGCATGACTGAGGTATCACAGTGAATGTGCATTTTAAGGACTTGCAAGAGGCAACCAAAACAGGTCAGTGGATATTTAAGATCTCCATCCCCCCATAAAAGAATCATGTAAGAAAGGCAGAAGATGCTAATATAAAAACATAATGGGCAAGTGATTGATACGAATGTGGTTTAACATCTGTAGATGGAAGTCAGTCTTTTGATATTAAAGAGAGACTGAGTAGGTGGTAAAAGAAGGCTAGCAGTTATGTTTGATATGACAGGACAGAGGGAATCAATGGAGAAAAGCAAAGAAAGTGAAATGAACAGAAACACAAAATTAAAAATAAAACTAAAAAAAAAAGAGAGAGAAAAAGAACAGTTATTGCAGTGGCAACAGCACTTTGAATGGATGAGGGTAGGATGAGACTGCTTTTGTCAAGTCACGGCCAGGGAAATGGATGTTGAAGTGAGTGAGATGCAAGACTCAACCCTAGTAATTTTTTAGCTGCATGGATAGCTACGACAGGTCTCATTCTCAAGGTTACTATGCAGGAAGAATCTACAAGAGCAGGCCTACGTTGACTTGAAGAATGGCTGAGACATCCACAGCAACACAAAAGGACGCAGCAGGGAGAATTCTGGATTAGGTCAAGTTGATATTGATGAAAAAGCTGTCAGAGAAACAGAGCTGTTTATGGACAGGGGGAAATGAATGTGAAACAGAGATGTGAGTTCTCTTCATAAAGTAGCAATTGAAAGTGTAATTGCAGATGCCTTTACCAAGTCTCAAGTAGTTTTCTACGAAACAACACCAGAGACCAGAGGGTACAAGGAAACTAGAGGATATCTTCAATCTACATGTAATGTTGGGTGAAATTCATGTCAAGAGTCGTATCTAGTAAGGATTCTCTCTCTCTTTCTTGAAGTCCAAAGAACATTGCTCCTCTGTCTTTCCACAAGATTCTCAGAGATATCAATGGGGGCTCTCTATATGGCTCTCAGCACAACATTATTCTAAAGCTATTTATAGTGCTAACTGGAACTAAGAGAACACGACTTTCCTATTGAGGGCTCTGCATACACACAAAAGGCACATTCAGTTCCTGAACGTTACAGCCTAAATGAAAACATGCCTGTGTAAAAATAGCCAAAAGATTTTCTATTAAACCCTATTTAAAAAACCAAAGTCCCCCCAAATCTCCTCAAAAACAAACCAGAATCAACACATGGAGACATAACTACTTGTAAATCTCACCATCTCTAGCTTTTAGGAATGCCCCTTGTTGAGTGAATTGTTAAAAGTGGTTTAATATAATAATAATAATAATAA